AGAGGGAGAGAAATAAATAAACAGAGAGATGGGGAGGGGAGACGTTTGTATACAGGTTTTTCTGTGTGAGACAATTCTTCGGCTACTTGTAAGGTTAATTATAGGTATATAGATATGGTAACCGGCGTTGAAGTTATTCCGCATGCACAAGCGTTGTTTTTATAAAAGTATACATGTCTTAAGTGCGGTGCATTCCGTTTTGGAATACAGGGAACGGTAGTCAACTTACAATGAAAATTTATCTTCATGTTTAGACGTTTTCACTATGCTTTGATATTAAGATATAACACGAGACAAAAGACTACGAGATGGAGACAGAAAGAGAAATAGAGAGGAAGACAAAATGGAAAAGAAGTAGAGAGAGGAACAGAATGAAAGAGAAACAGAGAGAGTGACAATGAAAAAGAAACAGAATGAAAGAGTAGAGAAATGAGATGAAATAAATACAAAGAAAGGCAGATGACGAAATAGAGGAATGAAGAGTGAATTTTAACACACCGGCATCTCAGGAAATAAATACCAGATGAATAATGAACGAGAAGGTGTGAACGTTCATCATGCGTTTCGTACTGTCCCCCATCAGGCATGAGTAATCAGAAGCATTTGTCCAGGTGGCGGATCTCATCAGCCCACCTGGTTCCTTAATACCAATACCCGCTTATCGGATCATCACAAGCCGAGGAGGTCTTCGCATTTTCTTCCATACCCCCCCCCCCGTAAAAAAAGGAAATGTAAAAGCAGACAAGAAAATCAATCGCGCCAAAAACAAACATGAGATCAACACATGCGAAGAAAACACCAGACTTGCATTTGGCAAAGCCACAGTGTAGCAATCACTTAGGGTCAGTGTAAGTACTCTCTGGGGATGCAATTATGATTCATGTCAGTGTATTTACGATTCTCGAAGGTGGATAAAAAAGGATTCCAAAAAAAAAATATGGCTTCCCGAGACCCAAACGAGAGCGTGGTTGCGATAGGATCTGTATCGCGGACTTTAATGCGTTTGCCTGATTACTGCTGTTGATATTTGATGGCTTCTGTTGCCTACAGCTCGAGGTACACCATCTGCTCGGGTTGCGTCTGACAGGTTCTTGGCCTGGAATAAATCACTCCGTATTTGTTGATGCGCGTTCGTGTGAGTGGAAGCGTGTGTGCGTGTGGTTTTGTGTATGAGGGTCATTTGCGTTGTTTGTCGCTATGGTTTTGAGTGCGCGTGTAGAAGAGGCGGCCTTTGTGTGCTTGTGTATGCGTGTGATGTGTCTGTGTTTGTTTATTTGATTATGTATGCGTTGATTGTTCGTATATTTATGCTGCGTGTGCGCGCGCTTGTTTGTGTGTGTTACTGTTTATGCGGCTGTCTATATACGTATGTATGTCTACGTTTTTTTTTTTTTTTTTTTTTTTTTTTTTTTTTTTTTTTTTTTTTTTTTTTTTTTTTTTTTTTTTTTTTTTATACGAATCTGACTGTACCTGTTTTGTGTTCGCGTGAGGGTACGATTGCTCGAAAGGAGGGGACAGATTAGGAGTGTATTGTCAATGCCATAATTTCTCCCCTTCCCAACCTCTCTCCTCTCAACCTCCCTCTCCCTTTGCACCAAGCCCCCACCCCCTCCTCCCTTTCGTTCTTCCCAACTGCCCTTACTTTGCACCTAGACCCCCACACGCACACATCCCCTCCCCTTCCAACCGCCCTCCTTCATTCATCTCCCCTTTCTTCCCCTTCCCTCTCTCCCAACCCTCCCCTCTCTATCCCCTCCCTCCCTATATTCATGAGCGCGAGAGCGTTCGGCCTCGACCCTTCAGCTCCATCCATCACTCGTGTGTCGTAACAAGTTTAGGTCTGCGCCGTCCCTGTGTATGGCTTACGTCCGGCTTTTCAAAGGTTCTGAATCGCATTCCCTTGCCCTTCTGGACGCGAAGAAAGAAACGAATTGCGTCTTTGCTAACGGCATGACACGCTGCTGAAAAGGGGGGCGGGGTCGTCAGGGAAGATAAGACGTAGAGGGATGGGGGAGGAGGTAGGTTGTGGGCAAACGTCGACGGTTTTGGTTCAGTAAGTCAAAATACATGATTTCATTAAATACAATGGCAAGTTTTTCGGTGCATTGCGGTTCCGTTTTATGGAAGGCGATAGTTGGAGGAAGTGGAAGAAGGTTGGCGCTTTAGTGTTGGTGGAAGGTCGACGTCGGAGCGTTGAAGAAGGGTCGATATCGGAATGTTGGAGGAAGATTGACATGTATTGGAGGAGGAGGTTGATTTCGAAAAGGTGAAGGGGTGTTAGTGAAATGGCAACGTTAGAGTGGTGGAGACAAGTCGACGCTGGCGTGTTAGAGCAAGGTCGACGTCGGACTGTTGGAGGAAGGTCGACGTCGGTGTTGGAGCGCATTATGGTCGCGTCCCCGCCTCGCCCATGCCCCACATTCTTCCCTTTCCCACAACCTCTCACCCCGAGGGGCAATACAGCGCCAAACCTCATCCTCCAGCCGAACGACAGGAGCGATTAGCGTTTGCAGGCACTGTAGCCCCCGCCTCCGGGTTCGTTGAGACGTCGTGTTGCGCCGAAAGTAAGACGAGGCATTGCACCGTTTCCCGCTCTCTGCGCTGCTCGAAATGCCAATGAGGTCGGGCTGCGTCGACATAATTACTGGTAATCTTTCGAAGCCGAAAGCTATGTCTTCCTTCCTTCCTCTTCATGTATCGTTCATTTTATTTGCTGTTTATCAAATTCACCAGCTTATAACTACTTCTGTCACAACTATAAATTTTCATGCGCTCTGTAATATTGTGATTATGTTAACATTAGCGATGCCCTTATTAGTATAATACTGTGATATTTAAATTACGGTAATCAGAATTCTTTACGCAAGGGTGGTACGGCGAGTCGCGAGTATGTGTGCCGCCCGTTGTAACAATGACTTGGAGTACATGTGCTTACTCAGCATCCTGTGCCCATTCATATTAAAGCCATTATTTGGGAGCATTACGCATTCAGAGCTAGACTTTACATGTGCGTCATAAACAAGTTCCTTTTTTATCTTGAGTTCGACTTCCCTGAATGTGATACGGAGAGCACGCTTATCCTCTTGGATGCGGAAACAAAGAGTATTAATTTCTTGCATCTTCAGCGTCCGCCAGGATGCATTCAGCCAAAGCTTCTCTTTCTGGCTCTCGCAGGTAGAGGCGGCTGAACACCATACAGAAGGCAGTCATGGTATTATGACTTGCTATGCACGAACGCCTTCATTACAATTGCCGTTGCCATTGTTGCTGTTCCTCTTTTGGCGTCGGGATGACAACGCAGCAGCTGACCCTCCGCAGTCCTGCGCCTGTGCCTCCCATCGCCGTCTGCTTATAGTCGGGGCATTTATTACAGCGTGCTGTCCTCGTGATCCTCTCTCCTCGTCTCCGATCACGACGACGCGCCATGCGAGGCGACCCGAGGCTGTGTTCGCCGAGGGAGTCGTTGCCACATTCCTCTCACTGTTCGCCCGAGCCCGAGGCGGACTCTCCAACAGGTTTGCTTCCTCGGCCAAATATACCTTGCCAAATGGACGTGATTTAAGAGTTTTCCCTCGATATCTACCGGGATAATCTATTATGATTGCAATATATTTCAGCTGTAATTACAAGCTGGCCCCCAAAGTTTCTATTACTCGTTGAGCAATTTGTTCTGGTTGTCAATGGACGTTCATTATGCGATGCATGTTTTCTCCAGCTAATGTGTTACTTGCTATTGTCTATTAATTCGTGGCTGCGACAGACGGAAAGTGTTGCGCGCTTTCTTGCACTGCATCTGCCAGATCTGCATTGCTTAGCTAGGGTCATTTCGTGAATAATTTTCATATAGAACAGGTAAGGATGAGACACAAATTGTGAGAATCAGATATATTAAGCACATTTTATAATCACGTGTATGTGGATTAAAAATAAATGAGTCACACAGTATATCAGTTCCATTTCCAATATTCAGCTGCCATCAAATGATCAAAGGATTTCACTTCGTTTCGTTTTACTGCGCGGCTTTTGTCTCGCTCCCCCGCGTAACGCGACTCGCTCTTCGATTAGCGCGAGATTTCCAGCTATAAAAAACGAGACCGAGAAACGTGAGCTCGCGATATAAAGCTTTCATTGCGTAATTTATCACCATATATTTATATAGCCTCGTTTTTTGGAGGCGCTTTCGTACTAGTCGACCTTATTAATCTGATTAATCTCGGAGAAGGGTTTGATTTTTTATTTATTTGCCTCTAGAAATACGCAATATTATCTACTTTTCTGGGTAGGAGCTCGGGCATTCTTTCTTATTCAAAGCCTTCAAAAACCGCAAAAAAGTCGCCATCACCCGCAGGAAAACACCGCAACACCGGCCGCAACCACACCTCCACCGCAGCTCATCTGGCGTTTGGTTTCGAACAAGAGCGTTTGCGAGAAGGCTGTTGGCTTCGGCGGAATGACTGTGTTTCTGAACTTAAGGAAATGAGGCAGGTCTTTGAAGGCAATCCACAGGCGTCCTTTGAGCAGCTCGGATCGACCTGCCTGCCGTGTGGGTGTGGGCGGGAGAGAGAGATATGCTCGTCGCTGTGCCGTTGCGGTGTAACCCGAGTGCCAGCGTCGAGCCAGTTGTGTTGTTACGTGACGGACCTTGAAATGGTGAAATTCTAGCCGTTTCTGGGAATATTTCTGTTATTTTATATGTTTTGGTGGTGGTACGTGGATGTGTGAATGTAATGACGTGAGATCTTTGCGGGTCTGAACGTTTTCCATTTCCATTTTGGGGAATGAATTCATGTTTGATGTATTACTTCAAACCGCATCATTGAAATTTCCAAAGAATAACTGCGAAACTAGTTTTCTTCAGTTGCTACATGTAGCCAAAAAAATCTAACTTGGTCTGGATTCGTCTTACCGGACTTTCACATGACTGGTGGACATATACAGTTTAAATCGTTCGTCACTGTTAAATACCTTATTTCGTAAAAAAACAATAATAACAAGTATAA